TTTTTTTTTCATCTATTTAATGGAACCTTTCACTCAGCAATCCATTCTTCAATAAATATCATTGACATTTTAAACAAGGAGATATAATAATAAAGTGCATTCTTTGCAAATATTTTATAATGACCCCATAGTATATTGATTGACTTGGGTACAGAATCAATTTCAAAGGGAGGATGATACATTGGAATGGCACCCATACTGTACATGCATAAAACCACTAATTGGTCAAGATAGAGAAACACAGTTTAATAAGTTGTCACATTGAAGTTGTACTGTGATACAGTTTCTCATGACTCAATTATTAGCTATCCCATTTCCCATTCCCAACCCAGTCCCACATCCATCACGAGTAGGCATATAAATTATGTAGTGAATCACACAATATTAATGAGGGTTAAATGCAACAAAGGATCACCTTTTAAAAATTCATGCTGACTGTCCTAAAAAATTCAAAATTCAAAAAATTATGAAGTGGAATCATGCACTTGTTTCTATAGTAACAGTTATTATTAAAGTTGCATAATGGTACCGGGTATATAACTCAGATGTATTTCATTAAAATAAAGTCTACTATTCAAACTTTTTGTTTATGGGTTGTTTATAGTGCAATGGCAATACTTTAATTATATGTTTAGTATTTCCCAAAATAATTAAAAATCATGTCAATTTATCAGTATTTTTGCTGATAACCTTGTACATAGGAAATTCATTGCACATTTTTAAGTTGCAGGAATGTACAGTGTGCAATGATGTGACAAATAAATTATCCAGAAAATGTTATGGATGTACTTTAATGGTAGAGGGCAACATTTTATGCATTAATCTATGGTAAATTGCCTATACCATAGAGATATAGCACTCAGAATGAGTGAATGAAACTCTGGTCATGTTTTTCTGTCAAATTCTTTATTTGACTCCCTAGGTTAATAGTAATTTTTGGAATGCATGCTTGTTGGTATATCAGACACTGAGCTGAGATGAGGACAAAAATGAATGGTTTATGTGTCAGTTGCATTATGGTGTGTAAATAAGAATGTACTATGTTCAGGTATTGAGTCACTTTGTCTGGTGAAATTGAAAGATTTACCCTCCCATAGTTATTAAAGTTGTGAAATAACATGTAAAATAATAATTGCTTGGTAAATGAACCAATAATAAAAGTTAATCTTTATAGCATATATTAATTTCATGCTCATTTCTTTAATTATTTTACTTGAAAACATTTAGCAAATAGTGTTATGATTATTGTGTATTTTATTTTCCCTTGCTAGATGTATTTTGTCAATATTTGTGTTGTAAAAGACTTCAGCTATTCTTCTGATACAAATTTACGGTAAATTGATATTAAACTGAAGATTTTTCAAGCAGGATGAACATGAAGAATTGACACATAGAATTTTTTTTATCTCTCTAAACATTTTCCTGCCTATTTTTCTGCCAGGTAAAAGGCAAGTGTGGGGATGTTTTTGACCAGGTTGTATCATTACTGGGAACCCAAGAAAGCCAGTATTTTGGATTAGCAATTCAACAAGGTAAGTCAGACTATCATCTTCTTTGATATGAATTATAAAGTATTGAATATCCATCGTAAGGCACAGTCTGAAACTGGGGGACTAGTGGAATGAGTGGTGTTCTCTGGTGGTGTCCCAGAGTTATTGTATTTCGAATTTCTCAGCTATGAACAGACTGATTTTAATTACCGTAAACTTGGTAAGAACATCTTACATTGTTAGTTTCCATGGCACAGTTTTTATTTTTGTGATTATATTTTCTATTTTTCATGATTTTTTGGGGAACAAAATGGAGGGATGTTGGGTGGGCTTGTTCCTGGAAGCCATGACTACCCCGTAGCAGTCTCTTCAAATTATAGTATTTCTGTTGAAGATGACAGAGCGGAGATGTTTGTATATGAGAATATTCATCGTCCACTCCTTAAAGTTAGACCCTCAGTTTAGACCAGATTTTCTATTTTTAGTGAATATTCCCTAATATGCTAATAAACCAAAATTGTTTTATTTCCATTCCTATGAAGTCAGCTAAAATACGTTTGCTTTTCTAATACTGATGTATGAATGGTGCATATCTTTATACTCAGTAATAAATGTAGATATATTTCTAGCTGTTCATGTATTATAAAAACATCCTCAAGAGTCAGGTCCCCAGTCAGTCTGAATACTATCTTATATCAGCACAACAAATAATATTCCATTAAAGATGATTGAGGTTGTGGTTTCAACTGCAGTAAAATCTTGTCAAGCAGTTCTTTTATAGCTTCCATACTAACTGAGCCATGCCTTGAAGCTGTTCTATTAGAGATTACACCAGTAAAAATGTATGTCTTTTAGACAAACAGACATACAATGACTTCTTGCAATAACACTTTGGGGCTATGTAGGTAATACAATTACAATATGTACTGTAAAGGGGGTAATTATTCACTGGGTTTTAATTTAGCTTATTTCGCTGACTGGAAAATGCGCTAAATTAAAACCAAGTGAATATGTAAAATTTAGCATAGAACACATTATCTAAATGACGAAACCGTGAATTTAAAACCCACTGAATATGCCTGAAATGATAAATCAGTGAAATTTAAACCCAGTGAAAATTAGTTATTTTACAGTAGTTTATTTTACATAAACTTTAGCACATATCTATTCAAATCAAATAAAATATTTTCTCTTGTAGATGGTGAATTTGAGTTCTTGGATTTGAAAACTAAGTTATCCAAATATGCTCCAAAGGGATGGAAAAATGATTCTGGTGGATATGTAAGTATACATCTTTTGACCCCATAAATTATGAAGATTGCTAACAGGCCTATAGACTGTTGCATTTGTTTACATTCTGCATGTGTGCATGTGCTCAGTAACTGGTACGGTAGGTAAGAACCAGTCATTCGCACTCAAAGGTAAAATAACGGTGTTTATCGCTGCTGCTGTTATATAAAATATACATATATGTGTCACTGTTAATGAAACAACTTATGGCCAGTGTTATTGTAGCAGTTCGTAAGCCTGTGTTGATCGATCAGCAGGTGGCATTTGTTATTACACATTTGTATGTTAGTTTCAAAAATGTAAAAAAATGGCGTCACACTTATTCTTGCTTCAATCTTTATCATTGATTTTTGAATACGCGTATTTATAATAGAGCATGTGAACCAACAGTTGCATGTGTTGTATACTGAGCATAGAAACACCTTTGTCATGTAAGCGCATACATTACTAATGGAGCAAATAGTTGCATATATTTCTCTGATGCATTGTAAATTATGATTAATATAAGGAGAGTTTGATATTGTTATGGAATTCTTGTTTAGTTGGTAGGTTGAATTCTTGATATTGATACTTTACAAACTAATGATGATTTCAACAGATGCTGGACTTTAAATGCTCATATTCTAACAATGTGAGGTGGTATCTTGAGATAATGTCGTCACTAGTATAACATATATCAACAAATATCAGACAAAGGATTCCAACATTGCCCATTTATTTAATTGTACTTCAAGACTTATTCTTGTGCCTCTCAGCTTCCTAAATTCTCAGTCATCCACCTCTTCCAAGGCCTCTGCCTTCTATATTTCCTGTTTCCTCTATTTTGGCTGGTCAACTAATTTTTCTGATGATTTTAGTTCCTCTCTCTACTAATCTAAGTACTATCTTCAATTTAAGATATTGTGTGAAATATTTACAAATTAATATTTTCTCACATGTGAACTATTTTAACATACTGTGTGTAATAGAAACAATTATCCTGATTAATTTGTACTGATCTCATATTTTATCTTGATTTCCAGGGTGCTGATAAATCAAGCAAATCAGTTTTTACAGTGTATTTTAAAGTGCAATTCTATGTAGAACACCCAAACTTAATTGTGTAAGTAACATCCATATCTTTCTCATTTGTCCCTCCTTTTGAGTCATAAGCCATCCATCAATGAAGGAAATCACAGTTACTCACATAACCAGTGAAAATAGGAAGATAAGTTGTTGTAATTTGAGATTTCTTGTGTAATTTACGTTATGTGGGTATCATAGTATATATATAGCACTTGTCGTCACCCATAGAATATGTAATGACTCCTGTGAAATAATGGCACCTAACTTGCTACGACTATTGATGCCACGACTATTGATGCCACGACTATTGATGCCACGGGGCAGCCAAATTTTGTTATGATGACATAATTAAACATAAACTTAGCTGCCAATATTGCCCTTGTTCCAATTGTACACATAGCATCAAGAGATTTGAATATCTAGGACATAAGGTTACTGTACTTATAAAAAAGACAAACATGTTTTGTCAGTATATACAGCTGCTCTAATTGATGGTATGGTATGTGCAGATTTCATGGTATGACTCTACTCTTTCAATGTTTTATATACTCTCCTATAAAATGGATGTATTGGGATTAGAATTCTTTGTAGTATATCAACCCTTCTGGGAATTTTTTATTTAAGACCCAAAACTTTTGTTTGATGAAACTTTGATTATTGTTTAGTGTCACTTCACTCATAGTATAATATAACCTAAGCTAGTTGATCAAGATCAAGTTCAAATCCAATTTCTTTTTTTTTTTTTTTATATGCCCTGGATCACAATTTTTTTTTTTATAATAAAACAACTTGTTCTAAATTTTGTTCAAATGTTCTGGGCAGATTTCCCCCCAAAATGTAATGTGTTTTTGTGTGATTTTTTACGATGTATTGCTTAGGATGGATTGCATGTTTCAAAGAGAGAATTCTTCACATAGAGATGTTATAGTATTTCATCTTGAAATAGAATAAATTTAATCAGTGACGAGACATATCAAAATAAGTAAAATACTTCACATCCCACTACCAATGATTCTAAAAAGTATTTTTGGAATATTAAAACTCATTTTTTAATGATGTGCATTATCTGACCTCTATGTGTTTTGTTGCTCTCATTTATTTTATGTTGAGGGCGCCCTACTTTTTTTTTGGGGGGGGGGGGTGGTGGAAATGACCGTGACTACAATTTACAAAATTAATGTTCTATGCCTTTATTTTGGTACCATAGCAAATTTTATCACTTTTATCATTATCATCCATATTACAACCCAAGCAGAAAATCTGAGTGGTCCTTGCACACATTTGAAATTGTGACATCACCAATCAGTCACCTCCGAGAATGCCAAAACCTAGTTTGTTCAATGACTATACAATTTATTTTCAATCTGATTGTTTTCAAATATGTACCGATAGTTTTTCGTTTCCAATCGCATTTGAGGATTTCGCTGTTCTAATTCTCACAACCGTACAGTGGCAACACACAGAATTTGTTTTCTCCACAGAGCTGCCACTACTGCTTGCCGATTTACTGTTATGATGTCTGAAAACCGCTGCTAGCCCATAATTCAGTTAAAATATTGCCATTGCTTCTCTATAACCTTAAATACATTGATAGTATCAAAAATTAATTATCATTTTATTATTAAAACTACCTGCTGCAACACAAGTTCCAAAAATAGCATTGTGCTAAGACGCTTAGAATGAGCACACACAAAAAAACATTTTAATTAGTTAGTTTCTGCTAGTGAAATAGCTGGTAATGCATACAAAAGCTTGAAACATTTGAAAATTTCTACACCCGATTAAAAAATACAATATTACGTGGTCACCCATAGGATTTCCTCAATTTTTAGT